AACTCTGCCATCACAGCCTCTGCCTTCAAACTTATATTCCAGTGGAGGAAGAGAAATATCAATTGATAAAAAAACAAGGTTAATATGATTTCAGATCCTTGTAAGTTTTCTGATGGATATCAGTTGAGTGTTATAATGAGAAACTGGTGGGGGATGCTGCTTTGGATAGTGTTTTGAAAAATTATCTGCAGAAGTGATTTTTACTCTGTTTTGTTTGCTGATATAGGTGTGTTTTATTGGTGACATAAATTCTTTAAGAGCTATTGCGCTTATGAAGTGATATGCCAAAATGGGGAATAACTGTTAGTACAATCTTCTCCTGACTTATCTACTGTATCTATTTATCTGTCTATATTTATATATATACACACATATATATACTGGTATAATACATTCCAGGAAAACTCAGTATCTCTTAAAAAACCATTGTACATGTAAAGCAATCAGATTCTAGGCCTTGAAAGCTGTTAACAGGGTTTTCACCTATGGGAATGTCCAGTGGGATGGTCTAAAGTTGTGAAGGATGCCAGACCACCACTGGCTGTGCGGGAGAATCCCAGATACTTCAAGGTGTTTAGTCAAATTCTTATCAGTGGTTCAGATGGTAAAAAAAAAAAAAAATTTGCCTGCAATGTGGGAGACTGGGGTTCGATCCCTGGAGAAGGGAATGGCAACCCACTTCAGTATTCTTGCTGGGAGAACTCCATGGACAGAGGAGCCTGGTAGGCTACAGTCCACGGTGTCACAACTGAGTGACTAACACTTTCATGTTCACTTTCGATCAAATTCTAATAAAACCCTACAGTCATTGTGATAAACAGTCCCTCCCACCCCCCAATTTCCAAAATAGCCTCTAAAAGGCAATATGGCCCCTGTTGCGAGCCAGAGTTTTGAGGGTCTGCAGCAGCCTCCTGATCTTCTAGCCAGTTGTTATTCTTGCTCTTGCGGTCTTTGACATTGTTAACCAGCCCTCCCTGGCTCCCGATTCTCTCTTGGCTTCCAGGCCCACACCCCTTGGGGTTCTCCCCTCTTCTTCCCCCATCTCTGCTTATCTCTCTCTAGCTTCTTGCTCTCCACCTGCCCATCCATGTAGATACACCCTTGATTTTTTCTTTTTTCTTCTTCATGTTATTTGATGAAAAGTTGAACACATCTTCCAGGCATCTCGCGTCCAAAGTTCTGTTCCTATGCTTTTTTGGCTGATTTTCCCAACTGCCACGTGGACCTGGTTAAGTGAGCCCTGAGTTAAATGTGTCCCAAATCCAACTGGTCACCTTCCTCTAAAACTTCTTATTCCTTTTGTCATAACTGTTGCATTCACAGCAACATCATCCACTCACACATCCTAGACATGGCAGCTGTCTTGACCTCTCTTTGTCACTCCCCACATCCAGTTGGTTAGTCTGTTTTCTCAAGTCTCAGGGAGTTATTGGAGCTGAATATTCTGGATCAAGTCCTGCAAAGATCAGATCACTGGTAATGAAAAACAGTGCCCCGGAAGAGGCTACTCTTATCCCACCCTTCTGATCTTCGATTTTATTTTACTTTAAATTCTGCACTAACCTAATTTTTCTAGACCTTGGGCATACTGCCCTGAGCTAATTTGTTTGCCCGAATTAATTACCAGCAGAGGGTGGCAGTCTCATTTTCATAGAATCCTTCTGTTTTGGAAGAGATGCCTTTTTCTTCAAACAGTCCAATTTAGGTACTTTGGCAGTGCAAAGGGTGTCTTGACATTTCCGTAAAGACATTTAAATGTTACCGTCTCTAAAGAAACAGTTTTAGAATGTGAAATCTTTTTCCCCCCCAAGGAAGAAAAACATCACCAGCTTAATTATCTCTGTAAAATAACTTCCTCATTTGCTCTCTTCATGTTGCTAGTGGGAAAAGATGATGATACTGTTTTCAAAAAATAAAAACAATTCTGGAGGATTTCGAGAAATTTGCTTTTGATTTTCATCTATATAAACAATACCACAATTCAGAGGTCAAAGATGCTTGTAGGGTTATGTGTTATCTTGCAAGTTGATTTTTGGAAGATCTGCTGGAAGGGAAAATACAAGCAAAAAGATGCTACTGGTGGTCATTTCTCCACACTGAGAAGAAGGCAAAAGAGACTTAATTCTTTAGATGTGTAAGTTCTAAAAATTGTGATAAAAAATCAGATAATATGAAATCTGTCCTATTAACAGAACTTAAGTGCCCAGTGCAGTATTGTTAACTACATACTCATTGTTGTATAGCCAAGTTCTGGAACATTTTCATTTTGCATAACTGAAACTCTATATCCATTCAACTGCAACTCCCTGTTTCCCCTCTCCTCCACCCCGGCAACTATCATTCTCTTCTGCCCCTGTAAGTCTGACTACTTTAGGTTCCACATTTCAGTGGAATCATGATGGGTTTTTCCTTCTGTGACTGGTTTATTCTACTTAGCACATGGCCTCAAGGTTCATCCATGTTATAACACATGACAGGATTTCCTTCTTTTTCAAGGCTGAATAGTGTTTCATTATATGTATATATTGCATCACATTTTCTGTATACATTCATCTGTTGATGGATGTTTAGGTGTTTCTACCTCTTGCCTATTGTGAAGCATGCACAATGAACATGGGAATGCAAATATATCTGCAAGATCTTATTTTCAGTTCTTTTGAATAAATAACTAGAAGTGAAGTTATAGATGTAGGGTAATTCTCTTTTTCATTTCTGAGGAATCTCTGTATTTTTTTGTGTTTTATATAGCAACTGCAGCCTTTTACATTCCCACTAACAGTGTATGAGAGCTCCCATTTTTCCACATCCTTGACAACACTTGTTATTTTCTGTTTTTGTTTTGTTTTCTTAGGGCCAGCTTAACTGGGATGAGGAGATACTTCTTTGTGGTTTTGATTTTCACTTCCCTGATGATTAGTGATGTTGAACACCTTTTTGTATACCTGTTGGCCATTTATCTTACACAGTTCACCAAAAACAACACCAACTGAATTAAAGACTTAAATCTAAGAACCTGAAATTGTAAAACTCCTGAAAGAAAACTTAGGGGAAAATCTTCATAAAATTTATCTCAGCATTGATTTTTGGATATGACACCAAAAGTATAGGCACCAAAAGCAAACATAAAGTAGGATTATATCAAACTGAACGTTTCTATCCAGCAAAGGAAGTGATCAATAGAGTCAAAGGCAGCCTTCAGAGTGGAAGAAACTGTTTGCACACTCAATCTTTAATAAATTGTTAATATCCAAAACTCTTGTAAAAAGAAAGGTTTTCTGTTGACTCTAGATCAGAAATCTAAATTCCTGACTTGTGCTATAAGCGATCAGAGAGTAAAGATTTTGGACTTGCCAAGCATGTCTCTGTTGCAGCTATTCAATCTATCATTGTATGAAATCAGCCATAGACAACATATATGTGGATGAGTATGACTGTGTCTCAATAAAACTTCATTTATAAAAACAGGGATGAATTTGACCTCTGGACCACCATTTGCTGATCTTTAATCTAGAGCTGGGTTTCTGCATCTGTCTCTCTCACTGTTTAGCTGGGTGGGTTTTTGTTGGGGGCTGTTCTGTGCGTCATAGGATGGTTTGCAGGAGCCTTAGACCAGAAGCCAGAAGCAATCCCCTCCCTCCACCGTCATTGTGACAACTCAGAATCTCTCTAAACATTGCCAGATATCTTCTGAGGGGCAAAATCACAGTTGGTTGAGAAACTCTGATCTAGATGATTAAAATAATCTGATAAAGGGTGATAGGAAATACTTCTGTAAAACTACCAGAAACCTGGAGAGATAGAAGAATGGAAATCCATAGGGTATTTGTCTCAGGGAGGTCAAGGTCCCCTTAAAGGAGTCACTATCACTGCCGAAAGATGAAAGATGGAAAACAATTCAGAAAGTACTGAAATGGCAACTTACTTGAAAAGTGCTCCATAAATAATGCAAATGTGAGCTTAACCTACTTTAGTGATAGGCACCAAAATCAGAACAATTCAACACGTTAGCCTGTGCTAACGGGACATTCTGAGCTCCGGGGCTGGCTCTGGGCTGCTGGAAACAAGCTGGCGGTTCCAGAACCCACTTGAGCAAGCGTTTATTTTTTCTGCTTATCTGAATTCAGAACCAACACAGGCAGAGTGATTTCTGAAAGTGCTCACATGTTTCTCTTTGTTTGGACAGGGCCAGACAAAAAATGGCCTGGTTTCACTGCACATTGGCAAGAACACATGTTTTTAAAAGTTAAAAACAGCCTAACATTCATGAGTGAATCTCAAAGAATGTTGTCTTCTTGTCCTTTAGAATAAACACCTGTTTTGCAAAAAAAAAAAAAAAAAAGAGAGTAAGAGCCACCTTTCTTGAGAAATCGTTGCTTTCTTTTTCTTCATTGCTGTTATTCTATTTTTAATAGTTAAAAACTTTAAGCACAGAGTACCATATTATAATTTAGATATTTGTCATTTTAAATTAAAAAACCACCCCACATTTCATCAAGAAATTCAGTTAAGCCTTTGTTAGCTGAGCTTCATTCCTGACTTGAAAAACAAAGGAAATCATGGATCCTTTTCTTCTGGAATAAAACTCTCTCTAGCTAGGTCTCTTTTTCTAATTGATTGGAGGAAATATGGAGTCCACATCCTTGAAAGGAGCTGTTTGGCTCTTAGGTCCCGTAGCTAGTGCTACTTCCTGTGTGATCACAGCAGATGCACTCCACAACCTATGTCTCCCGGTCACCAGTACCAGTGGACGTGACATCATAGTGGGGTCATCTAGTGGATCATGACAACGGTTGGGCTCACGACAAAAGGTGGTAAGGACAGATTCTTCATAACCTTCCTGGAAATTTACATTTCAGTGTATCCCGAGAGACCCAGCTCCTCCAGTCCCATCTATTTGCGCCTCACTTTCCCTTGAACACCCACTGCCTGCCTGGCAGGCTGGTCCGGTGTGCGTTTAGACGGTTCTGGTTTGACCTCAGACCTTTCCTTCTGTCCCTCAGGCTACCATGGCCTCTACTGTGAGGAGGAATACGACGAGTGTCTCTCCGGCCCGTGCCTGAACGCTGCCACCTGCAGGGACCTCGTCAACGGCTACGAGTGCGTGTGCCCGGCAGAGTACAAAGGTGAGCATCACGGGGTGGACGTGTGCCGGCGTGGCGCTCCGTGACGTCACGGGTTTCTCCACGCACGTGCGTAGACCCCTGACTGGAGCGTGAAGCTGTTTAGAATAAGAATCAAATGCTGGCGGTGGAATGATGTGTGGGGACCAAGGAGAGCAGTGTGCACGTCTCTGGTTTCCTCTTGATAAACTGAAGCATCTCTCTCCCGTCCTTTCCTTCTCCTCACCCTTCTTCTCTTCTCGTCTCATATGTAAAAAGCTGAGGATAAAACGGAATGTGACGTGGACTCCCAGGCTCAGGTCAGAGGATGCGGCTGTGGCCCCGGGGGAGGAGAGCGTCTGCCCTGAAGCGCTCTCGGGGCGGGGAGACAGTGCTGTGCTTTTCAGGGGGAGGAGGCGGGTGGAGTCTTGTACGTTGGCAGAAAAAGTTCATTCTCGTTAAATGAGTTGGTAAAGGGGAGGCAAGTGTTAGTTCATTTGAGTGGACTTGTGTCAAAGTCACTCTGGGAAAATGGCTGATGTCGACGAAGTGTTTATAATGTTCTCAGGTGGTGTTAGTGGTGAGGACTCTTTCTGTTAGTGCAGGAAACTCAAGAGACACAGGTTCGACCCCTGGGTTGGGAAGATCCCCTGGAGAAGGACATGAGGACATGGCAACCCACTCCAGTGTTCTTGCTTAGAGAATTCCGTGGACAGAGGAGCCTGGTGGGCTGCAGTGGTTCATGGGGTTGCAAAGAGTTGGACATGACTCAACGGCTAACACACATACACACACACCCTGTTCTAAGTCCTTACATGGGTAAATTCATAAAAAAAGACCTGAGAGTAACTCAAGAGGACGTAGTGTCAGCCTTCAGAAGCCCCTCCACCTGCCTCCCCATTGGGCTCACTAGTGTGGCTTCATTGGAGCTTCAGTACCCTCAGCCAGCACTGTGTCAGGGGCCTGGCCCTCAGCTGCTCTGCATGTGTTTCAGTGCTGGTGTAGACTTTTGTAATGCCTTTGAGCACTCCATTTATATCCATTTCACTTAACCTCTGGCCCACACCACCGCCTGCTTGATAGCATCAATCCGCTAGTGACCTGGCTTTGTAGCAGACGTTGCTTCTCTTTGGATGGACCCACCTTTATTTCGAGGTCTTTCTGGTGAGTCTTGAGGGTTTGTAGGGCACATGAATGAACCTGATCTAGCCCCTGGGTGGAAGGGCTGAAGCCGGACCCAGTCTTTCCTGTATGTTCAGCAGATCTGATATTTCTCATGGAGTATGATGCCCACTTAGAGCTGAACTCTGCCAACTTCCATGAGGACAGGTGTTCTGGCTTCACCCACATGGATTTCAGTTCTAGGTGGATCCAAGTATCCAGAAATAGGGCATCCTCTCAAGTCTGGAAAGAATAGAAGAGCAATGAACTCAGGAGACCTAGGTAGCTCATCCTCACTGTGCCATTGGCATCTGGATGACCCTGGATAAACCTCTTCAACGGACTTGTTGATGCTTTCTGAGAGATTTTGAGATTCTTCAATGACAACATTAGTAGTGGTAGATGTGCTTCAAAAATTTAAATCCCGGAATTCTTTAGCTTGTGATAGAATTTTATGCAGTAAGTTTCATCTTTATAAATGACAAAATTATTAATGGGATGTACTCTGAATTTGCTTCTTGTGTTCCTGGCTTGGAATCAGTACTCATAATATCATGACCAAGAAATAAAAAGTGAAATTGTGTATGGTGACCTGCTAGTGACTCCACAAATTCATGGACTGTGAGCCTAGCTTTTTAACCTTTTTCATCCATTTTTCTCAATGGGTATTCCCAAATTTTGCTGCTTCCCTCAAGCCTTATATTAAATCACTCATTCATCTTTATGGAATGAAAGAAAGGTTATCATTGAGAGACAGCTTGAGATTTCCCTAGTTTTCCATGTTCTAAGCAGTGGTTCTCAAACTTGAGCATGTGTTAGAGCATGTGTTGAGCTGGTGGGCTTCTTAGAACATAGTCTGCTGGGCCTCAGCCCTTGAGTTCCTGATTCAGTATATCTAGGGTCGGGCCCAATAATTTGAATTTCTGATAAGTTCTCAGATGATGCCGATATGCTGATTCTTGCTCCCCTTTGAGAAACCCCACCCTACAAACTCATCTGCAATCACAACTGCTCAAATTTGATTGTCCTGCCTATTAACTATCAAGTGCTCCCTGTTCCACTCAAAGCTAATCCTTCCATATATGTTCCTCATTCCACCCCTTCTATTTTTCTGTGACCTTCCTCCACCAGTTACAGATGCCCTGCCGTGAATGACTCAAGAGGGTAGGGTTGACATGAAATGACTCAAGATCCTGGAGGGGATCTCAATTGCATTTGAGGATGTGGGTTTTCAAGAAAAGGGTGCAGTGCCAGGAGCCTTTATGTATCACAGGGTTAGGAAATATGGTTCTGGTGAGAACGGAGGACTCAGAGACCAGCTGAGCCATAAAGATCCCACAGCTTATAGAGAGGAAGTATGCACTGTAGTGTGCTGCACGTGACCCTGTGAGACAAAGGGCTCCTATCTCATGGATTCTGGCTGTTCTTTAAGAGGACTGCTGGACTTCCTTGGTGGTCCCGTGGTTAAGAATCCACCTGCCAATGCAAGGGACTCAGATTCCATCCCTGGTCCAGGAAGGTTCCATATGCTGTGGAGCAACTAAGCCCATATGCCACAACTACTGAAGCCCACGCCGTCTAAAGCCTGAGTGCCACAAGAGAAGCCACTACAACGAGAGGCCCTCACACCGCAACCACAGAAAGCCCACAGGTAACAATGTAGACCTGCTGCAGCCAAAAGTAAATAAATAAAATAAAATAATCACTAATTAAAAAAAAAGAAGACTGCAGTTAGACTGAGCTGCTCCTTGTGTGTATGTGCGAGTGTGTAAGAAAGAGAGATAAAGAGAATGGGCCCCTGCTCACACCTGGAGAAGCTTGAAAAGCACAAACTGGGAGGCCGCTACCCCTCATAGACAGGGCTGGCTTGACTGGCCTGTCTAGCACTGGAGGAGAATTTCTAGTATCATCTGTCTCATTGCCAACCTCAAGCCTGGCCAGTCCAGGGAGCCTGTACTCAACAAGGGAAAAACTATCTAGGAAGTAAAAACAAAATTGCAGCAAAACCCACAACTCTAAACACTCAAAAAGGGAAGTGAAAATAGTAAGGTATGCTCCTCAAAATGGAAGTTAGGTCTGGAAAAGCAAAAGGAGGAACTATGTCATGATAGAAGTAAAAATATGAGGAAATGGAAACTGTGAATGAAAAGACATGAAATACAGAGAAAAGATCCAAGAGGTAATGTTTCATCTGAATGATGGATGCTGGGGAAGAAGAAAGAACACACGGAAATAAAACCAGAAACAAACAGCTACTAGAAGGAGAAGTCTAGGAGATAGATAAACTGGAATTTTCGCATCAGCTTACAGAGTACCAGAGGATTAATGAAGGAGATGATATATAATTTATGGTTTCCTGGTAGAATTTCCAAATCCAAGACTACAGAGAATATTTTTTGCAAGATTCTTCATAGGGAGTACAAGTTATACACAAAAGAAAGACGAGTCAGCATGGAACTGCTCTTCTCTAAAATGAAGCTGGTGGTCGGTGGTTAAGAATCTGCCTTCCAGTGCAGGAGACATGGGTTCGATCCCTGGTCAGGGACCTAAGATCCCACCTGCCTCAGGGTAACCAAGCCCTTGTTCTGCAACTGCTGAGTCCTTGTGCTCTGGAGTCCATGCCTGCAACTGGAGACGCCTGTGTGCTGTGATGAAGATCCTGTGTTCTGCAACAGGACCTGATGCAACAAAATAAATGAATATTAAAAAAAATAAAATGAGACTAAACAACAGTGAAGAGTGTTTTATATTTTTCAGAGAAAAATTCTGGTAGTTAAAGGTTCATTTATATTTGAAGGATAAAGAAAGACATTTTCTACACTTAAGGAACCCCATGTACCCTCTCTAAAAAAATTATTTTACAAGGTATACTCATCAAATTGGAACTATATCAGAACAAAGATAACCAGATAAGTGACAATAGACTGTAAGAGGAAGGAGGTTGAGCAGACTTCTTTACTTTTGGTAAATGTAAATAGATGGCATTCATGTGATTGTAAATACTAATTTAGTGGTGAAGAAAAGTCTCTTGAAAGAATAAACATGCATACTGTATTAATTATTAATATTACTCCTGCATAGTGAATTATTATAAGGTAGTGGCTTAACACAACACCCTTTTATTAGCTAACAATTTCCTACATTCTGGCATGGATTAATGGAGGTGTTGGCTGGGCTGAATGCTCATCTGAGCTTTAAATAGGGAAGGATCAGATTCAAAGTCCCCTCAAGTTCTTGGTAGAATTCATATCCTTGTAGCTGGAGAATTGTTGACAGCTTCTTGAAAGTGATGAGAGAGAACTTCTGCTGTTACTTCAAGAGAGGCCTGAACCCTCTTAAAGCTGTCACCTGGTTAGGGAAGGGCCCACCCAAGGTTAACTCAAAGTCAACTGATTAAATTTTGCATCTTCAAACTTTCTTAACCATTGCTGAATGCCATTGGTTAGAAGTTCTCATTCAAGGGAAGGGGATTATACAAGGATCTGACTTATTGAGGAAGGTCACCCTAGATTGTGTCACCATGTGAGTTGGTGGGTGTTTGGGAATGATTGGAAGGCACACAGGTGTGTTAGAGATCTCATCTCAATGGGCAGGTAAAGTGATTATTTCATTTTGAGGTATTTATAGAGACCTTTAGGTTTGGGTTTAAGCAGGCATGTAAACCTTAGCAAAGTAGCAATGAATGAAAAGTACTTCTAAACTTAGAGTGATGGGCAGGTGTTGAGGTGTGGGGTAGAAGGGATTAAAAGAAAAGCAGAAGGAGCCAATTTATGCCCTCAATCCAGAGGAAGGTCACAAGACCCTGGACCTGTCTTTCCTGTCCCTCTTTGGAGGCATTTTTCCCAACATGTATTTACATATGA